GGAATAGTGGTGCACTGCTCACTAGCTATGCTTCCATCCACTTGTTAATCGAATTATCTGAAGTTCGCCAAAAATATTCATGCGAATAAATGCGGTGAAAATGCATTTCCATCTAACAGCATTAAAGCGCATAAAAACTTGCTGTTATGCGATCAAATCGGTGTTTCGAATAGATATATGACATTTTAAGCTGTTTCCATTCATTTTCGCACTAAATCGCAGAACTTTCGAGTGAACAAAAGTAGTGTGTTAGCCAACAAAATTATCTAGTTAGCCAAAATGGATCTACCAAAAAATGATGATAATTGCACAAGTTGTAATAGTGCGTATGTGCCATCGATTAGCAACATAGCAAACCATTATCAGAAGGCAATGTCAAAACACCGTCACGATGCAGTCGCAGATTTATTCGGCAAATAACGTTTCCATCAGCATTTATCGCATAAGCCTTTTACCGATCAAGAAAAAATCCGATGAGATCAACCGTACAAACTTCGTTTATATTTTTTAAATCAAGTCGAATTTCACCGTTTCCATAAGGCATTTGTCTCTTTACATAAGCACTTTGCTACGGATGAATTCTGATGAATTTTCATGTTGTAAAATGTTCAAAATAAACAATTTTTTGTATCAAACATGCCATTTCTTTAATGGAATGTAGCCTTTCCCATCTACCTAGGTCTTAATGATCTGACGTGCAATGTTGTAATCGATAAATGAACAGCTTTATGCTGGTTTAGCCATGCAGACTAGTCTGCACTCTCTTTTTTGAGATTGACATTAGGTTTTTCTCTTCAAGATATATTACCTGAGTGCTTTGTGGGTGGGCTGGGGGACAATGGTGAGGGACTTGACTTGACATAACCTGTGACTCGACTTGACTTGACATAGCCTTGTGACTCGACTTGACTTGAATTGTCCACAAAAGAAAAGACTTGGGACTTGCTTGAGACTTGGACCAAATGACTTGAGACTCGCTTGGGACTCGGATCGGAGGGACTTGGACAATTGTCTGATAAATACAAAGGAAGCAAGTATTTAACCAACAAAGATATTTTAAATAAGAGCAGATCTTATGAAGGCTGCGAATCTGAAAGTGCAAGAAAGGCTGTTCTAAAGTAGCCTGTGTGATGGGTCTTTTTCTATATGTATTGACTGAGAAATCACTCACGACTTCATGCACTCAAATGCTAAAAAACTCAAAGCTGAAATGTAGGCTTTGGGGAGACTGATAAGTGTAAGGGTTTTGCCCTGCAGTCCCTCCCCTGTGGCTTGCTCTCACCTCCACCCTAACAAGCTGCATCTGTTGCTCATTAGGGTAGAGGTGATTATCAAGGTATATACAGTAGGGCTGGCAGTTGCCAGTGCTCAGGGTAGCTGCATTTTGGATGTTAGTACTGCTCCCCTGTTTTAACTTTGTGTTTGTTTTTATTTTTAGTTATTAAACTCTCCAGTTTTTTTTCCAGCCTGGCGTTTGGGTCCTGAATTTCGTCTTAGACCCATGGTCCTAGCTCCCGCCGGATTGAGATTTGTATCCGGCGGGAGCGAATCCATGACAGATAAGCTTCTGCATGCAATGTGGAAGGCTGTACTGATTAATATGAGCGCTGAATCAAAGCGTAACAAAAGCGGTACTGCACCACATCTGGCTGATGTACTCCCGCCTTTAAACCAATCTTTGTGCAGAGGCTGACTAAACCCTTTTGTAAGGGTTGAGGGGGGCCTCAGAGAGCTGCCACTTTTTTTCTTTTGTTTTGGAAACAACGTTCAGTTTCTCAACCGATTTATTGATCTAATTTTAATCTAGTACTCACAATAATTACTTAGAAATAAAAAAATTTGCAAACAAAAACAAACTTTTCATTCCAGGCCTTTCAAGGGCCCCTTACCACACTGGGGCCCAGGGTAGTCAGTCCTGCATCTCCCCGCAGAACGACGCCCCCACTGACTGATAATATTTGACCAGATGTGCAGAATGACACTCCATTTTGTTCTTTCCAGTTGTTGAACTGCATCATGGATATGGTGGAGAAGACACGACGCTCACTCACGGTTCTCCACCGATGCCAGGAGGTGGACAGAGAGGAGTTGAACCTCTGGATCCGCTGTTACAGTGCTATAGAGGACCAGAAGAAAGAGAAAGGCAGCAATAGTGCCCTTTCCCAACAGCGGAGTCCAATCACTCGTGATCCCACGGCCTCTGGTAGTACGTCCTGTATAGGCTCACTTGAAGAATGTTCTGTCAATAATTACAGGAAATTGGTTATTCCTGGCTGAATACTATTCAAATCAATATTCAAATTCGTTAGATATTCGAATCAGTCATTTATTCATCAAAGGTTTCTTCTTGTTTTGTTTGTTTAAAATAGAAATACACAGGGAATTTTTTCCGAGAACTGGATTTGCATGTGTTCCAGATGACATGTGGAAAAAAGCTGGTGAGGATCATGTTTTCCTGTCATGTTGTCTTCAGCATAAGTCATTTTTTTCTATGTCTTCTTGTTTAATTGCATTAGAAGAAAATGTGTTTTCTTTATCAAGCTTGACTTTCTTTTGAAAGATAGAATGAATTGAATGTGTCCTTTGGGTAACTCTAATAATTAGAATGATCTTTGCGTAATTACTATGAAAACTAACATTTAGAGACATGCTTTATGTACGGTACTTTCAGGGCCTGATACTTTTTAGATTTGGATGAGTTTTGATGATTAATTTCCCGTTGATTTAACATTGCAAGATGCAATGCTAGCCTATAAATCAGGATGTCATGTGTGAGATTGAGTCAATCAAAATGATTAACGTTCGATTAACATTCTGTCTTGTGCCTCTGGGCGGCAGCTAACAAAATATTTTTGACAGTCACTCAGTAACTGTCAGTGTAGTATTCTGTGGTTGAATAAAGGAGACTATAGGTGAAACCAGTGGGCAACTAGTCAGTTCTATTTCTGTTACCTAGCACAGTAACACTTTTGACATGAGTAACATTACATCTCATTGGGTGGCAAATGACAGTGACTAGGCTATCTTGATAACAACTTGTCTCCTAAATAGTTAATTCCTTTTTCACCATTTGCTTTTTGTATTTAAATTGTGTTAAACAGGTTTTTTTTCTGCAAATTTTGTTCAGTAACTTTAGATAATGCCCTTATGTTTCATTAATTTTTAGTGATGTTATAGGCATAGACTTGCTCTAACCCTCACTGACTTTGCAACTTACTAAATACATGGTGTCAACAACCCAAACTCAGAAAGGGTGTTGATGGTGCAGAAAATGCACATAAAAACAGAAAGCAGTGACTTCTAAATTTACTTTCACTTCCATTTCATTGCAGACTGTATAACAGCAAGATATTTAATGTTTTTTTCCGGTCAACTTTATTTCATTTGTAAATATACATCTATTCTTGCAATTCAGGCCTGCAACGCATTTCGAAACAAGTTGTGATTGGGGAAATTTAGGATTAGTAATGAGGTAACAATAATTTGAATAATGATACAATTTGAAACAGCTGATGCCCGCTAGAGATTGTAATCATGATGTAATACAAAAGCAACATCCAGGAAGGGCTTAGTCCTTCTGGAGCAAAGATGGCAGTGGATCATCAATTTGCCTGCACATGCATAAGAAAATCATTGAAAGGTTTAAAAACAGTGTTCCTCAAGGAGAGATAGGATGTTATTTACAACCCCAATTCCAAAAAAGTTGGGATGCTGTGTAAAATGTAAATAAAAACAGAATGCAATGATTTGCAAATCTCATGAACTGACAATTTATTCACAAAAGCAAGACATTTTTCAATTTCATGAAAAATTTTAACTCATTTTGAATTTGATAGCGGCAACACATCTCAAAAAAGTTGGGATATGGTCATATTTACCCTTGTTTAGTATCCCCTCTTTTTTTAACAACAGTCTGTAAACGTCAGGGAAGTGAGGAGACCAATTGCTCAAGTTTTGGGAGAGGAATGTTGTCCCACTCTTGTCAGATATAGGATTCTAGCTGCTCAACAGTCCTGAGTCTTCTTTGCTGGATTTTTCATTTTATGATGCGCCAAATGTTTTCTATTAGTGACAGGTCTGGACTGCAGGTAGCCCAGTTCAACACTCCGACTCTTCTACTGTGAAGCCATGCTGTTGGATGCAGTATGTTGTTCCGGCCCCACCTCATCATCAGAGATTCAGCCCCCAATCTGTACTGTATTGCCGTCAATAAACTACCTGGATTGTACGCCTCCCTCTGCACTTGATTCCTGGTCTGGACCATTACAAAACAATCCAGCCACTAATGGAATCAGCTGAGATGTCAAGCCCAGTTGACGCCCTGAGGTACCAGGGTGAGCAGATTGATAGGCCGGAAAATGAACTCTGAAAATTTTGCCAGTCCATTGAAACCCTCTCTAATCAACTAGTTGCTGGAACAGAAATTTCATGGGACCTCTGCTCAAGCAGCCAGTGCCCTTCTGCTGCAAGCTGTTCCTCAGATGCATGCTCTTTGTGAGCCCAACTTGGCAGTCCTGGAGTCCTACAGTGGCGATCCTACCACCTGTCACAGTTTCCTGGCCTAGCATATGATGTTGTTCAAGCTTCAGCCCACCTCCTTCCCTATTATGCATTTCACAGTGTGATCTGTAATCACTCGCCTCTTTGGATGTGCCCGGGACTGGGCTGCTGCCTGCTGGGAGACAGGTCATCCTGCAGTGTCATTCTGATTTTGCTAAAGAAATGAAGAAGTTGTTCGACTGGTCCCACTCCAATCATGCTGCTGCCTGCCAGCTGCTCCAGCTGTGTCATCGTAACCTATTGGTGTTGATTACTCTAAAGCCACTTCTGCACCTTGGCTGTCTCCGTGTGCTGGGTTTCCCAGGCCCTATATGATGTCTACCTGTTTGGCTTGGTGAAGCATTACAAGACGGGTTAATTACCTGTGTCCTACCCCCAGATCTGGTCGAACTGATTGACCTGGCACTGTAACCTGTGCCCTGGCACCTGGCACAAAGGGTGGCATGGTGGCGTAGTGGTTAGCACTGTCGCCTCACAGCAAGAAGGTTGTGGGTTCGAATCTGGCCTGGGGCATTTCTGCGTGGAGTTTGCATGTTCTCCCTGTGTTTGCGTGGGTTTCCTCCGGGTAATCCGGTTTCCCCCACCCACAGAAACATGCATTATAGGAACACTCCTGCCAGTACCCCTGACCAAGGCACAGGCTGTGTTTAAAACCGCACTCTACGGTCTACATTCTCGGTCTACATACTATTCTCACTACGAACGAACTCTTCCTGTTACTTCTTCTTCTTATTAATCCTCAGCGAGTTTTTCTGGTGGTTTACGTCGCGTTGCATCTTGGGCAATTTATGGATGAAAAGTGAGCTTACGATGCACCCATGAAATATCTGCCTGATCTAGTATACATCCGGGAACTTCTCGTGGACACAAACTCACTCCCCACGCATAAGTGAACACCCTACCCCTTAAATCTGATGTCATCGGTAGTGCGAGTAGTACGTTAGTGCGCGGTTTCGAACGCGGCCACCTGCTTTAGAACTGGAGTTGGTCCCCGGGGGCTGCTCTGTGGCTGCCCACTGCTCCTAACAATAGGATGGGTCAAATGCAGAGGAAAAATTACCCCACGGGTAATAAAAACATTACACAGGATTAATTCATGGGAGGTTTAAAACTGGAATGTGCTCCACATGAAAAAGATCTGGGAGTGATTGTTGACCAAACCCTCACAGGTTCTAGCCATTGTGCCATAGCAGTTGAAAAAGCCAGTCGGATGCTGGGATACATTGCCAAAAGTATTGAGTACAAATCTAAGGAGGTCATACTTCTCTTGTACAACATATTCGTCAGACCACATCTGGAGTATTGTGTACAGTTCTTGGGACCATACTTAAAGAAAGGTATAGAGGCTCTAGAAAAAGTTCAGAGAAGAGCCACTAAGCTGATTCCAGGTATAAAAGATGAAAGCCATGAGAAGAGGCTGAAGATCCTTAATCTCTTTAGTCTTAGGAAAAGGAGACTAACAAAATGAATTATGTAGGATTCCTTCAGCCAAGTTTTGTTAGTAGAACTCGGGGTCACAAATGGAAATTGACCAAGGGTAAATTTAGCACGGATATTAGGAAATATTTTCTCACCCAAAGAGTAATTTTGATGTGGAATAGCTTGCCTGAGCATATTGTTGAGGCAGAAACCTTGGGAATTTTCAAGAGCAGACTTGACTTAAAGCTAGATACCATTGAGTCATTAAGTATCTGAAGTGATATATTCACAATAGTAAAAGGAAACTGGCAAGCCTAGTTGGGCTGAATGGCCTGTTCTCGCCACTCATGTTATGTTATGTTATATTAATATGCTAGACAATGGGACGGAACCCAGAGGAGAATAGCACAGTTCAGTTCAGATGTTGTGGGCAAAGCAGCGTAGGTGTTGCCAGTGCCTTTCTGGGATGTCTGCCAGGTGGAGCGCACACTTTGCTGGAGCTGAACTCTCTAAAAGCGGGATGGGGAAGCATAGGAGGAACACAGTTCCAATCCTGATGAACATAGAAGGATTGGGAGCTTGTTTCTAATAAAGTGGACAGAGTAACAGACTGGGAAAAGATTAACAGGAATGTGGTCCCAATCCTGGAGACTGAGAGGCTTGGGAGCTTGTTCCTTTTGATTATACAAGGACGGAAATTTCCTTAAATTCTTGGTGTGCACGTGACGTCACGCATAATTTCCAAACAGGAAGTCCGCCATGATGGATGATAACCTGATAACAACAACCAAGATAGCTGCGCTTCACCATTGAGTTCCTGCAATGTTCCATGATTTTCTTTGGATTTGCGCTTCCTTTTAAAAGAAAACAATGTCTACTTTGTGTGCGGTTTTTAATTGCAGCAATAATGCTACTCGTGATAAAGACAAGAGTTTCCTCAGAATCCCATCTCATTGAAATCAATGTCGCTTACTAGCAAGTACGGCACTTTGTTTACGTGCGCTGGCAGCCACTTGCTTACTTCAGTACATGTTCTCGAGTTCCCGATTCTATATCCAGCTTCAGTCGCAAAGAGCAAAGCTCCAATGTGGGAACAAGCCTCGCTTAATCCAGCCATGCAATCACAATGTGCGAGGATCACATCGCCATTCTTATCGCTCACAAACCACGGCTTGAGCGGCATTTCTCGAGTTCTTTGAGAATGGTTTACCCGAGCATAAACCAGCACCCTGTTCTCTTTCACTTCTTTAGTGAGAAGAATACCAACCCACCCAGACACAAAAAAGTTATACGCATCTAGACTCTTATAAGTTTTCATTTGTGCGTTGGTTGCCCACAAGGTTTGAATAATGAGATGGTTTACGATATCGGGGTATTCAATCACTGGTAATATTGCCAAATCCTCCATATAATCAGATGGCTTTAACATAATATGGGTCAAAACCACAAATTTAAACCTTTTCTCTGTATCTTGACTTGGCAGAGGACTCAAGAGAGTCATAATGTTTCAAAAAATTTGGAGATGTATCACTGTTATTGTTCGCACAAGATGCCATTTTTGATTTGTATATCATCCAACATGGCGGTGCGTGCAATTTTTATCACGTGGTTGCACACGAAGAATTGCTATCATTAAAGATTTTATTTTACTTTCAAAAGACAAACAGTTTTACTAGTAAGTACAGACTGGTTCTAAGTGCTTATAGCAAATTACGGTCCAGCAACTTGTAACTCAAATGAGGGGTATGTATATGTCTCTCACACACACACACACACACACACACGCGCGCGCGCGCGCACAAGAGGTAGGATAACTATGAAGCAAAACACAACTGGCAGTTAGGGAACATGCAAGATGCAAACCAATCGAAGGAGACATTACTTCTAATAGACACGTAAGTTGCTGAATGGGAGGAGACACAGAACACAAGGGTTGTGACGGTCTTCTGTCCCTAAATGTTGCGAGAGTTAATGGCAACTTGACTAAGTGGCGAATATTTTACTGTCCCAATGTTTTTTGAACTATGTTGCATGATTCAAAATTTAAATGTTTTTATTTTGAAAAATGAATAAAATTTGTGCGGTGAAACATAAAATGGTATGCTAATATATTGTTTTCAACATAATAGAGGTCAAAAATAAGTTATAAATCACTGTTTTCAGTTTTACCTTTAATTTTACGTGCTGTCCCAACTTTTTCTGATTTGGGGTTGTACATAGTCTCTAGCAATGCTAGAATTAACATGTTAACCAAACAAAGTCAACTGATTGAGATTGAACAATGTAACATTATGCTATTGTACTTCATTAGCTGATTTTACATGTTGTTTTCATGGTTGCCTGCAGAATAATATTTGCTAAGTTGTGATTAATCAAAAAGAATCTATGTTTTCAGTTAAATTTTTAATTCACAAATTACCAGAAACTTGGTTAATTCAATGCATCATTCCTATAACCCGAACATGCAAACCCAGACATAAGTCCTCTTGAGAAAAAAGTAAATATTCTATTAGTGGCTTGCTCTAATAAAGGTCACACTTGTTTGGTACTGATATTAAGACTTTCAAATACTCTGTACAGAGCACTGTTTTTAGAGTTTGAATTAGGCTCTGCCCCATGGTAAGTTTGAAAAAAAAAAAACGTATACTGGGCATGTGGTTACCATTTGCTCTTTTGGTCGATATATTTAATTTCCAGTCTTTTAAGGCTTATGGTAAATGTACAGATTTGACTTAAATGAGCCGTATTTTGAATATTTTTTCCAAGTTCAATCCACCTGTGCTGCTGTTTCCACTCTGTATCACTGCCTAGAGAAGGTCCATTTCGAAGATCCTCTTGTTAAGCCGTTAGCCTCTTTTTCACTCGAATATTTGAAACGCGGTTTAAAATTTCTGCTGTTTTCCACATCACTAACAAACTTGCTCTGCAATTGTTCGCAGCTACCAGATCTTAGTGTCATAACCAAAATCTATATGCCTGCATTTTACGTGCTGAAGGCAGAACAAAACACTCCAAGAACAAGCAGGGGATGAGGACTGCAGTAGTGAAGGCCTGGCACAACATCACAAGGGATGAAATCAAGCATCTGGTGATGTTCCTGTTGCTGTAGTATGAAAATAAGGCAGGCTGGAGACACCAAATAGAAGAATGCTCTATCAAAATAGCTGAATGGAAATTTCAAATAGGGATTAGAAATGGGGTGTGCTTATGCCTGGGGCCGGGCTGCAAAGCTGCTTCATTTAATTGGCATTAAATTGAGAAAGTGCTTTCAATGGAGAGTGATGCAGAATGTTGTTTTACTCTGAAATGAGTTTGTATGTATGTGCGTTTATGTTTTGTGTATGAACCAATACTGTTGGAAATCCTCATCTTTCAGAGGAGGCTGTTAATGAGGTGAAGAGACAGGCGGTGTCAGAACTGCAGAAGGCTGTGTCAGAGGCAGAGCAGAAAGCCCATGAGATGATCAGCTTGGAGAGAGCCAAAATGGAGCACAAGGTGGCTGACGCCAAACGACTGGCAGCCGAGGAAGCAATGTCCCTTATCAATCAGCAGGAAGACTCTAGTGAGGTAAGACCATTGTTTGAATATATATCCCCCAACAGATGGCTATATAGTACTTGTTGCATCAAGAACAATGGAGCTAGTCCCATGCTCAATTTATTGGTTTTGATTCCCATTGCAAAGAGTAACTGGACCAACACTGTAGAATTAAAACGGAACTTGGTCTGTGACCAGCGGGTCTTGAATTTGAACTCTGAATTATTTTGCAAGTCAGTTGTGTGTATGTATGTGTATATATATATATATATATATATATATATATTCATATTTGTGTTGATATTTTTCAGTTAGTGAACATTTCTTGAGAATGACTATTCTAATTATTTAAGTTTGATCACTCAGTGATAAAAAAATCATGGAAGCATTGAACATTCCTTGGCTGGATTTCTGGCAGGACTATAAAGGTCTTGCCCAAATTTCAGTAACGCCATTATATGGAGATTATCACAGCAGTTACCCTTATGGGCCATAGAGACCTTTAGCATCCATGCCAGCTTTCACATTGTTTTTGTGGCTTACATGAGGCCAGCTTT